TCTCACTTCTGTGAAAGTGAGATGGTGGGGACTTGGGCAACTGAAAGTTGGGCCATCAGCAGTCGTTAATTGAGCACAGACTACTTTCAAGGATTGTATAATTCTGGGGAGTCATCGAGAAAACAACTAGACGATATTTCTGGCCTCTCACACATGGGGATTGCACCAGTCAAGGTTCTTGGTTGAAGACAAAAGTGACCAGCTGTGTTACTGGCATGGGGCACTAGATGCCATCCCAACAGTGCTGTCACTAACATCCCAGACCTCAGCTTTTCAGCAGTCACTGTCACAGCCAGAAAATTTCCCTCCCAGTCCCCTTGACTTTCTGGTGGGTGTTACAGCCTCGTCTTTCATTGCAAAGTAAATTGCCTCAATGAGACAGGGTATTCCCGAGTGCAGGGAAGAGCGTCTCTCATTTCAGTTCACTCCAACTTGTAGTAGGTGCCCACTTAATTAAGGAGGGAAATCATTCAGAGAGTGAAACTGGCTAATCTGCAAATTCACAAAGTGACTGATGGTGATTTTTAAAACTTCTTTAGCAAAATTCCTTCTATTAGAAAAATTTTAATTCTTCTAATAAAAGTTTTAATTTTTTAAAAGTAAAAGTTACAGGAAAGTCTCAGTACTCTGATATACTCTTACGGAGTTTCACCAATTAGGTTTTGCCAGATTTAATTGCTGTCTCTCAAAATACATAAATATGCTTTTTTTTTTTTGATGAATCATTTGAGAGTAAGTTGCAGACATCATGACTCTGTGCCTCTTAATACTTCAGGATACATCCCCTGAGAACAAGGACATAACAAAATAATTACCAAATTCAGGAAACTTAACACTGAAATCATCTTATATGCACAGCTCAATATGTTCTCTGTATACTTTTTTTGGTCCAGGAGCCAGTCCAAGATTATTTATTGCATGTAATTCTTACATTGCTTTCGTCTCCTTTAATACGAAACAGGTCATCAAACTTTTTTGTCTTTCTGGATATTGATGCTTTTGAAAAGCACAAGTTCATTGTCTTATAGAACTTTCCTCAATTTACATTTGTCTGATGTTTCCCAGTGGCCCGAGTTAGGTTATGCACTTTGAGCAGGAACACTACACAAGTGATGTTATCCTTGTCAAGGCCCACATCAGGGAGCGTGTGATGCCAGCTTCTCTAAGTATTGGTGTGTTGATCACGTGGTCAGGGTGGTACCCACCAGGTTTCTCCACAGTACATTTACTCTTTTTCCCTTGGTAATTAATAGGTAATCTGTGGGGAGACACTTCAAAACATGTAAAGGTTCTGCCCTCACCAAACCTTTATCCAGCAGTTTTAATGTATCCATTGGTTCCTGCCTCAATCAGTTACTGGCAACGATGGCTGCAAAGTGATGGTTTCTCAAACTTCTATATTGACTAGTTGGAATGCTACTTTAAGGATGAGTTTTTCCTTCTCCATTATTTATTTTTTCATTGATTTATTTAATACCAGTATAGACTCATTAACTCTTAATAAATTTTAATGTGACTCTTAACAACTTATCTATTTGTGGAATCCATCCCTTAGATAACTAACTCACTTCTCCATTTTGTGGATGGGTCAACCTAATTACAAGCAGATTTTTTTTCTTGATGTGGACGTAAACATTTAACCTATACCCCAATACCTACGAAGGCATATAGGAAATAGAAAACATCTTTTTATGGGCATTGTGAGGTTGAACACATAGGTGATTGAAGTGTTTTGAGTAGCTGTGGCAAAACGGGGTACTCTGGGAAGACATAAAGGAACAAAGCCTTTTAAAGAAAGGAAGGGGGTTTTGCAGACAAGCGAGACAAGATACGGAAGACTGGCACAATCAATGGCTTTCAGACTAGATACAGAGCAAGGGGGGCCTGGTGGAACAGGGTGAGGTGGGGGAAGGGCTGGGAGAGAACCAGTGCTGCGTTTGATATCAGTCTTACTATTTTATGTTTTTTTTAATTGGGGAATCGGGGGAAGGGGAACAGACAAGTTGCTGTTGTTTTGTTCTTCAGTCTAGTTGTGGAGGACGTTGCTTCACTGGCCCAAGGGCTGCAGCCTATGCCGTCGCTGGTGACTCACGGCAGCCCAGCTCCAGGTTGAGCTGTTGTTCAGCATCTTAGCTGTAGAGGGCAGTATCACTGGGGCCCTCATATGAGGGATCCGAACCGGGGCCCTCATATGAGGGATCCGAACCGGGGCCCTCTGGCATCCCAAGCCAGTTCTTAACCAACGCGCCACTCGGCCGGCCCAGCCTTACTATTCTATCAATCTGATGGGCAAAATAATGTTTTGATTTGCATTTTCTTTCACTGCTAATAATTATCTTTTCATGTGTTTGTCTATTGACCATTTACATTTCCTTTTCTGAAACTGCAGACTAATATCTTTTGTCCATTTTTATCCTGAATTTGTCTTTTTCTCAGCAATTTGAAGGTATTCTTTGAATATTAGGAATATGTCATGTGTATTACAAGAATTTTCACCAAATCTGTGCTTTTTCATTTGGCTTTCACAGTGTCTTTGGATATATAACTTAAAAAAAATTTTTTTTTAATTAAAATCTGTTTTTTTCATTATGGCTTTTGAGTTTACTGACACGCTAGTGGTTTTCTTGCTTGCGATTATACAAATATTCATCTAAATTTTCCTATTATGTTACTGTTATAGTTTTTACATTCGTGCCTTTAAGCTACCTGGAATTTAATTTTGTATATGATATAAGGAGGAATCAAGACTTGGAACCTTAGAGTTTGCCATAACTCTTCTTATCTTGTGGCATTTTCCATGTTTTCATAACACACTCTCCATGCAGCTCAAAATTTCTCTGCTTTCAGACCTTTCTCTTGTCACATTGCTATGCTGTAAACTCAAGGCAGGCAGGAACCATGTACGTCTCTTTCTCTACTAGCTTCCTTCAACAAAGACTTGTTGAACAATTGCAAAGCACCTAGCATAGTACCTGACACATTTTAGGCACTCAGAAAACATTTATGGGAGGAAGGCAAGTGTTGAACTCACACATGTATTACTGTGACTCCTGGCAAATTTAATATTGATTGCTTTATAAATATTGATTGCTTTATAAGGAGAATGCTCCTTAAAGCCTTTCACTGTCTCATGAGCTCACTCTGTTCTTTCCTCCTCCTGGGCCTTTGTTCTTTGAGGCCTTCCTTCTCTCTATAAATCTGTAAACCACTCCATAAGGACTCGTTTCTTTAGGGAAGCTTTCTCCAAACCCTTTCTTAAAATCCAACAGCATTTAAAAATTCTGCCACACTATTTAGCACTTAATCCACACTGGATTTTACTCCTTTTCTAGGACCCATCACTGTGCTGGGCATACAGCTCATTGAACACTTCAACTGCAACTGAAACAAGCTAACATGCCAAGGCATTTATAGAGACTGAAGGACTGCCTCGAGATTTGTTATGAAAGCTCTTGGGTCTAAAAAAGCCAGCAAGGGGATGGTCAGTTAGCTCAAGTGGTTAGAGCGCAGGGCACAGCGCTCCTTAACACCAAGGTTGCCAGTTCAATACCCACGTGGGCCACTGAGGTGTGCCCTCCACAACTAGATTGAAACTTGTCTTGGAGCTGATGGGTCCTGGAGAAACACACTGTTTCCCAATGATTCCCAATAAAAATATTAATTAATAAATAAAATTAAAAAGCCAGCAAACTGGGAAATGCTGGACAATGACCCTGAAAACTGTTAAATACCAGAATGATTTTTCAAGTGAAATTGTGTAATCCCATTTATTTATACATGTGTTAGATGAACACATGACTAAAAGTACTGCTCTGCCTGAAGGCAGAGGTGAACACGCTGCCTTTGGTATTTTCTATTTTCGTGGGTCCCTATACAGTCTTCACCAACTTGGACCTTTGGAGCTTCAGGGAAAATGGAAAGAAACCTTATATGACCCTATATGCAGTTTGAAAATAAAGTCTGAATAGCCCTCACCATTTTATGCATGAATTCTTAATGGAGAAATGGCTAATTCTAGGGCTAGCACAGAGAATGTACAAGATGAGCCTGGAGCATCTTACAGTATCAGAAAATAAGAAAGCACTCAAAAAAAAATGATCGGGGTATAGCAAAGGAACACAAGAGCTAACTGGAAGAACTCCCAATGACCAAAGCTGGAACAATTTGAGCAACAAAATAAATAACGTAGTATTGGATTATAGCCCAAAGAAAAAATACCCATGAGTTCATACTGATCTAAATAAGTGGTTGAATAAATAAATGAGGGAGAAGAGACAAATCTCCCATAGAGAATGCCAAATAATTTATGTAGACACTCCGCCCTCAGGGAGGTAGAGCATAACTCCCTACCCCGTAAGTGGGGACCACACTTAGTGACTTGCTTCCAAAGAGTACAGTATGAAGAGGGACGAAAGTAGCTTCACAGTGGAGAAGCCTAGAAATTAACACCATCAGTGACAAGTCATGTTGATAGTATGTACCCCTGACATGATAAGAATGACACTGCACCTCTATGGTTCCTCCCAAACACCATAATTACAGTCTAACTATGAGAAAAACAAACAAATCCCAATTGAGGTACATTGGACAAAACACCCAACCAGTCCTCAAAACTATCAGGGCCATCAAAAATAACGTCTAAGAAACTGTCACAGCTTACAGCAGTCTAAGGGGACATGACAACTAAGTATCATATGGTATCCTGGATGAGATCTTGGCACAGAAAAATTACATTAGGCAAAACTAGTGAAGTCCAAATCAAGTATGGAGTTCAGTTAATAATATAGCGCTATTATTTCATTAGTTGACACATGCAACCACAGTAATGTGTTTACAGAACTGGGTGTGGGGTACATGGAAACTCTCTTGTCATATCTGTGTAACTTTTCTGTAAATCTAAAACTAGTCTAAAATAAAAGCATACTTAAATATTTTAAAAATACAAGTTTGGGCAAAAGATGACTACATGCTTATCTCCACCTCTGTGCTGTTAATTACAGGGCGCTGGTGACAGTTTTGTGGGAGCTTTGGCCTTCTACCTGGCTTACTACCCAAATCTGTCCTTGGAAGAAATGCTCAAGAGATCCAATTTCATCGCAGCCGTCAGTGTCCAGACTGCAGGAACACAGTCATCTTATCCTTACAGAAAAGACCTGCCACTTGATCTGTTTTGATTGCTGTTAACTCCAAAATAAATATACCTGGAAATAAAATGTGCTTGGGGGTGGCCGCTCTTAACTAGCAGCGTACTATACAATGTCCTCTTCTGCTTTGCAAATATTGTATCCATTTACTAAGTCACCTTCAGGCTGTCATTTATTTCTTTACAATGATCATTTCTTTGCTTTTCATGCAAGAGCTAACCAGAATTAAGGACTCCATGACCACGACCTGCACAAACATTACCACTATTCAAGAACCAGCAAACGCGATTTCCAACAGATCATGAATACTATTGTAGGACTTGTATTCATCTTTTGTTACCGGTCTGTATTATTACAATTTTAATAGTTTTTTTCCTTCCTTACAATGTGTGTACATTTTTTTGGCACCTTCTGTATAGGTGTATGCCATACAGATAAGAGTCGGCGCAGAGAATGTTAAACAAGAGAAGGGGACATATGAACTGGATCACTCGAGCAGTTTCTACGAGGGGGCAGCTGATAGTGAGCTCGGGCTTTCATGCTGTCAAAGCTTCTGGTTTTGCAAGAGAAGCCAGAAGTTTTGGATATTTACTGAAATCTTTCAATGTTTAAGTATCAGCAACTCATTTTTTAAAAATGTAAACACCACCTGCGGGCCACATTTCAGCCCATGTGCTGAACAGACAAGTCATTTGTTCAGCCAGATTTTACGTTAAGGAAAAAAAAAAAGGCAATCCGTGCATGTCACAGACCCTTTACATTGGGCTTGGCTAGTCGGATCAGGTGGAAGATTTTTCTTGTAACCCAAGGTTATTATGTATAATTTCAATCTAAAAATAGCTAAGATCTCACCTATTATTGCTTTGAACCAGAGCTTTAACAAAAGATGCCAGAAAATAGCTGATTGACTCTAATGCCACAAGCCTCTAAGACTCACCAACAGCCTACATCTAGTTCCATTTCCAGAGAGCTGCTCTCGCATTTCCTCCGGAGACATGGACTGGGCCACGGGGAGCGAACACCTGTTAATTTGGAATGGTATTGGTTTCTTAATGCTTGTGGTCATGGTGAGCACTCTCGTTTTCTCACATAAATGCTTTAAATGGGGGAGGATATGAACCAGCAGAGCTCAAAAAAATGAACCGATCCTTCTTACCTTCAGCAGAAATCTGACAAGTGAGAAAACCGGGCAATTTTGAAAATGTGTGGGAAACAATAGCTTGAGTGAGAAAGTGTATAGACCTGGGTAAGGCAGAAGTCCTTACCTGAACATCAGGGATCATCAGTGGCATTTCCAGCTGCATGGTAACTCCATGCCGCAGAGTCCTAGCTATAGCTTTATGGAAATAGCATTATAGTGCCACTTATTTTAAAAAAAAAAATCTAGGAGATAAAGGAGTCCAAAGCTGTCCTAGAAAACCCTAGATACTGCTTTCATGACCCGAGTTTGAGAATATGGACCGATGGCATTTTCTCTTATAAGCACAAATCAAAAACAGAAGTTCTCGTGGCTTCTTGTGTCACAAGGTGGGCTCCCTTTACTGCTGCTCACCTCTGCCATCGGTTATTACATGACAGTTGTTTCAAGATCACTCTGGATGGGGTGTGACTCTGCCTTTTCTATGAAGTACAAGGAGGAGCAGCCTGGAAACTCTTACACAAGTCTCATTATGGAAAATTTTCTTTCATTACATGAAACAATGGTTATTTTTTAGTTCGGCAGTTGTGTTTTTCATTTCAAATAGTGGGGGAAAACACCACTGAGAGACAATAGCTCAGGCTATTTTAATATTTTTATTAAGGGCTATAAAAATATCCAGAAAGATAAATAAATGTGATGCAATGATGTATGTCCTAATATGAAGAACTTTCTTTCACTGCATTGTTTGCCTTCACAATGGCCTTCAAATCACAGGAGGCAGTGATTCCGTGTCATTTCCTCTTCTTTTATTACATGCTGCAGAATTTCTGAATCGGGATCCCACCCTCAGTCTTCTCATTTATAAATCAAATTCATTTTCAATCCATTGTTTAGAGGGAGCGTATTTTTTTCTGTTCCACAAAGAGGACTTTTGTTTTCACTATAGGAGGAGAAGAGAAGATTATGGCAGAAAACTAGAAAGTATCATCACCATTGTCTAATAAAAATACATATCGCACCATGAGTCTTTCCCTTTCTCTTATCTTCCTGTGACATGAGGATGCAGCTGACTTGCAAACTCAGTTCCTCAATCCCAGAGGCCAAAGACTGGAGAAAATGGTAAGGAAAACAAGGGAAGGTCCACCAGCCAACCCGTGGCATCCTTGGTCCCCACAAGGTCACATTTCAACCAATGGGAAATATTCAAATTAAAAAAGCAAATTATGGGCAAAAAATAGGAAACACTCAATGTCTTCACCCAATTAACATGCACTCTTGTAGGAGGTAAGCAAGAACAGACTAGAGCTGGACTCCAGAAAAAGAGCAGTAAGAACTGAGCAGACCACGGAAAGGCAGCCTGGCTGAAAGAATAAATACACATTAAACCTTTACTTTCCAGAGATGGTTTCATATACCCCAATATGGGTTTTCTAGTTTGGTAATAGAATTAATATTATAACCACAATCTCATTATTATAAGAGAGTTCAGTTCTCTGAAACAAAACCACAACAACTGCCCGATGAAAGACTTGAAACTAGATGCTAGAAAATCGGTTTTCATAGTTCCCATCATGCCCTATAGTACTCCATGAACTTCACATACCTCTATCTCTTCCTCCTCTCCTTTCCCTACCCCCACCACACCACCTACTTCTTTGCCAAAACAAACAATGCACCTAGGAAGATTCAGGAACTCAAAGGACCATGGCATAACAACTCACTTGTCCCTACCATACAAAGAGATTTTAGCTTAGTTTTTTCTTCTTCTTCTATAATCAATGTAGATACTCTGTATATGAGGTTCCCAAACTGTCTATGATTAATAATTAGCTAGGGAGCTAACTGAAATAAATTCCTGCTTCTTACTTCCACTCCTACCCTAATTCTGGTTCGGCAGATCGAGAGTGTGACTGAAGCCTTCATTTTTTTAAACCCTCATGATTCTAATGGGCAGTTAGATTTAAGAACCATTAACCAGTCATCAGAATTTTATCTGTATTAATAAAAATAAAATATATTTATTATATAGGGATATTCTTAATATACTTCAAATCATCTAATATTAAATATAAGTAGGATTGATGTGCCTTTGAAGTCCAAGGGGGAACAAATATAAAATGGTAGTAAAGAACCAAAATAGTTTCCTATCAGATAGTATTATTCATTGCAAGAAATATTTCCCCCATGTTTTTCTACATAGAACTAAAATGATGGATGAAAAAAAGGAACTTGTCTCACTGGTAAACCAATCAGGAGAGTATTTAAATGACCCTAAACAGAAGTAAAATAGTAAAGCAAGGCTTTATTTATGAAAATGTTTTGATTCATTCACTGCATTTGGTCCCTTGATTCAAAGAATAAATACTTAAGTCCACAAACTGTGCTAGGCAGCGTGGAGTTTACAAAAGTTGAAGAAGAGTCTTTGGGCATCTAGTGGAGAGGAATGGCGGTGAGAGGTAGGAATGACAGTGGGGCTTCATGGCTTTGCATGCTAGGCGACCACAGGGGAAGGTCCTGATTAAGAAAGAAAAAATAGGAAGATTAATTTGGCTCCACATAATAGAAAGAATAGGGGCCCAGAGCCAGAGAGATTGGGGTCAAACGTTGGTCCCACCGTTTATCTGCTGAGGCCCTAGGCAAATTTCTCAAAATGCTCTCTATTCAATTTCTGTCCCTGGGAGGAATAACTCCATCTCCCTCCCAGGGTTGTTGCCAGATGCACAGTGCAAGCACTCACTAGTGCAAGCTGAGTGGAAGTGACACCCTGCTATCCACTATCATAAACGTAAATTAATTTTGTCAAAACAGTTGCTGCTTAATTCATATAAGAATGAATCTATCAAGCTCTTTCCTTACATCTAACCTAAATCTATTCTGCTTTAACATCTATATTGTCTTGTTTGGTCATCCAAGGAATTAAAACTGACAAGTTTTCACTTTCTGTATGATAAACCTTCCTATGTTTAACAAAGTTGAATAAGCTCATGCTTCAGCCTTTAATCCTTCCTCCTCAGAAATTTGCATCTAGTTTTATATAAGGAAAAGGAGTTTGGAAGGACAGAGACTAGTTCTAGCCATAGAGTATACACTATGAAACGTTCAAATAACTAGGAATTTTTCTGTTTCCTTACCTGATTTATTTTGTAAAGCAAACTAACAAAACATTACCCTTAAACTAACCATTTACTCATTGCAGTAAAATTTGCTGGGAGAACTGCCAAGCTATTTGGTACCCTGAGCAATGGGCAGGCCCCAAGACAAATATCAGCACGCAAGCCTGCAGGGCATTCAGCAGGTGGGCAGAGAGCCAGTGTGCTGTCCCAGAACATTCTCTTCTTCAGAAAAGACAAAGTTGTACTGTCAAGGCTCAGACCACTCCTTATCACAAAAGTTCTCATCGTCTGTTTAAGATTTATATATCTCTTCTCCCACTTTCAACTTATGATCAGAGCTGTTTATGGTTGTATCCTTCCCCAATATCAAAACTTAAAATCAATCTAACAAATAATAAGTTCCTAATAACAGGCTCCCCTGGATATGCATGGGGGATTGGCTCCAGGACACCACCACCCCCACCCCACAGATACCAAAATCCAAGGATGCTCAAGTGCCTTCTATAAAATGGCACAGTATTTGCATATAACCTACACACATCCTTCCGTATACTTTTAAATCATCTCTGGATTACTTATAATACTTAATACAATATAAATGTTCTACAAATAGTTGTTATACTGCATTGATTAGGGAATGAGAGGGTAAAAAAAAATATCTGTACATGTTTAGTACAGACACAATCATCATAGGCCTAACTACATAGTACATGACAGCAAACACATGACTTTTTTTTTGGGGGGGGGGGGTAACTTTTTTTCAAATATTTTCAGTCCACAGTTGGTTGAATCAATGGATGTGGAATCCATGGGTATGGAGGGCCAACTGTCCCTCAGTACTAAGTAAAGATGAAAATTTCAATACATTTTCATACTTCAAGAATATCATAGAGGTTATTTAATCAACATTTTTTAATATACAAGTTCCTAAAAAACTCTACAGAAGCTAAAATGCTAGGAAAACAATAGGTATTGCTCATTTTATCGCACTTCACTTTACTGCGCTTTGCAGATAATTGGCATTTTTTACAAATTGAAGGTAAGACCCTCCACCAGCAAAAAGATTATGACTCCCTGAATGCTCAGATGATGGTTAGCATTTCATAGCAATAAAGTATTTTAAATTAGGGCATGTACCTTGTTTTTATTAGTCATAATGCTATTGTACACCTAATAGACTACAGTGTAGTATAAACATAACTTTCATATGCACTGGGAAACCCAAAAGTTCGCATGACTCACTTTATTGCAATATTCTCTTTATTGCAGTGGTCTTGAACCGAACCTGGAATGTCTCCAAGGTATGCCTGTACTTTATTATAAAGTTCACCACTAAGTTTTCACCGACTGATACAAAGACATCAGAGGGAGAAAAACACCACAGCAATCCAGTATCATATTGCTATGGTCTGAATGTTTGTATGCCCCCTGACCCCAAATTCATATGTTGAAATCCTAACCCCCAAAGATGATGGTATTAGGAGGTGGGGCCTCTGGGAGGTGCTTTGGCCATGATGGTAGAGTCTTCATACATGGGATTAGTGCTCTTGGAAAAGAAACCCCAACTGAGCTTGCTTGCCCTTCTACCATGGGAGGACGCAGCGAGAAGCCACAGGCTATGAACCAGAAAAGGGCCCTCACCAGAAAGCGACCATGCTGGTAGCTTGATCTTGGACCTGCAAGGCCCCAGAACTCTGAGAAATAAACTTCTGTTGTTTATAAGCCACCCAGCCTGAGGTATTTTGTTATAGCAACCCAAATGGACTGAGATACATACCTTATTGTAATGTTCCACAATTAGCAGTATCATCCTGAAATTGAGACTCCTAATCACCAGGAACAAACCTAGAATTCCCTTTTATTATAATAAAGAATGACCAGAAATGGCCATAAAAATAGCAGGAAATTTTATTTCTGTTAAAGAGTGGAACTTACACAATTTTAAGCTGAAAACTGTGCATCTCAGAGCCTTTTTAAAATGCCTCCTCACACTGGTACAGCCCCTTTTTTTGGAAGATGCTTTATTTTTTTTTATTTCTTAGACGTTGAAAAATGCAGCATAATTAACAGTGGTTGTGAGACCTTCTTAATAAACCCTGAAGGCATCTATCAACATAACTGGCAGCCAGGATTCGTGCTAATGCCCGGCCCGAGGTCCTGCAGCATTAAGGAGGCTTTAGCCTCCTGTGAATTCTCTCTATAACACGTCCCTACATAGAGTGGTTCAGGGCCCGGGCTATGCAGTCAGACCACCCTGAGTTCAAATCTTTACTCTGTCACATATTTTAGCTGCGTGTCCTTGATTAAGATCTTTGGCCCCAGGGGAAAGTATCTGAGCATGTGTAGTGCTGAGTGCATCCCTGTCCCAGGCAGGAAGGACAGCAAGGACCAGGCCCGAAGTGGGAGGGGTGATGAGGCCCGTGG